ATCTAGAATTCAGCACCTGTTCTGAACAGACTTCCTGGCAAAATTTCTTTGTAAACAGCTAGCAGAGTAAAAAGGGAATCCCAGATGACTGCTCTGCCCCTTTTCATACTGCAAAGACACAATTAAGATGGAACAAAGGGGTATACAAACACGTGCCTGATTTTAGAAAAATATTTACAGTGTTTATACTAGAAATACTTAAGGCAGATAAAGATATTTACCCTAGAAATAACTAAGATTAAAAAAATGATAATAAAAAAGCCCCAAATAAACCTAAACCATTCAACATCCATTAAGATAAAATAAAGTAAATAAGTTCAGCCAATTGGTTATTTCCATATTGTTGGATTTCTTTAAATGGTAATGAAATCATTGCTAAAAAATCCATTGTTATTAAAATAAAAAAGTTGGCTCAGCCTACCAAAATTAGATTTGTAAGTTGCTGGTCATTCCCATAATTAAATCTGTGTCACAAATTTGCAAGAAAAATGGACACTATGACTAATGCATTTACTTGCAGCACTAGTGCTGTCAGGCTGTGTAAATCATTATGCCTGCTAAAGCAGACTAGATAAGAATTCCATACATTTTCATTAACCAACTAAGCTTTGGGTATATGTGAGAAGCTAACTTTATTTTCTGCTAGCTTTAGCTTGCATTTGGAAGACAATTTAAATAAAAATACTAGCCTATATTTGGTGAGCCATGGGGCGGCTCCAAAAATTAGTTGAGCTTTTTGAACTGCAGGAACCAGCTCTGTCCCCTCTGAGAGATGGTCAGAAAACAGAAAAAACCCACACATCCTTAGCTTGGACAAAGGAGATTAATGGAATGATGGGCACCTTACAAGTGTCTCATTTCATCTATTATGTTTCAGAGAAAGAACAGCTAATCCATAGCAGCACTGGAGGAAGTCTTAAACAATGCTTTGCTGTTTTCTCAGGAGCCCAGTGGTCACTAGAGCAGAGTCCCCAGAATCCTCTATTTTCCTCTTGACTTCCTGTCCCCAGACCTTCGGATCTCCGTTTCAGTTCTTTGATGAAGGTGAAGCTGATTGGCTGCTCCTTCCACACCAACTGTTCATAACACCAAGGTACCAAAGAACCAGCCTACACTGACTCACACCACAGGCTGGATATTCTTATGGGATTGCCAGCCCACAGTCTCAAGCAGAAAGGAGACTCATGAGAGACAGAAGGATTAGACAAGACTGGTCCAGTCTAGCAGTGCAGAGCATTTTGTGAGGACACAGAGTTCTGCAAGTCCATGTCCCACACACAAGGCATTACACTGTCACTGCAAACTGAGTGCAGCTCTCAGCCAAGCACGCCTCCAGGGCAGGAACAGCCTCAGGGACAGGTGGACAAAGTCAAAGGAGCTGAACCACTCAGGCAAACACCATGGAACAAGCAGCAGTACAGCATGTTTTGCATCTCCTGCCTATTGTTCTGTGATTTGTATATTTGCAAGTATTTGTCTTCTTCTCTTAGAAGCAGAATAGAAATGCTTAGGAAGCATGGCAATGCATACAACATTAACAATTCCAGTAGACCTACACTTGACATTCCAGGCAATCTCTTCAGCCTTTAGGTGCAAAAGTATCCTCTCCTCCAAGTGGGAGCAGCTAACACAGTGCTTTCTATCTTAGCATGTGCATGCAACCTTGGGATAACCAACTGCTTGGTATGAGTAAAACACTACCAGATTATATTAAAACCCCATTAAGAGGAAAATCTGAAATAACTTCCTATGTTCCACAATTATTGTAAACCAAACTGCTTAAACGAGGGGAGGAGATAATGATATTAACTACCCAGCTCAGAGCAATCCTCTGTGGTATGAGCCTAAATATTCTCTTGGCTGAAATTTATGTAAATTGAATTCATCTATCGTTAGTTATTACTAATCCAGCTATATAAAAACACTTTTCTGTAACAATTAGTTTTTTCAAAAACTGGATTTTAATTAGACCTGAGACATTATTAAACTAAGTCAATAAAATAATGTAAATATATAGCATATCATTCCATATACTGTTTTGTCTGTATATTTATAGGAATATGGACTTTGGTGGAGTTAAAAAGGAATTACTTTGTGGTTGGGTGGCAGTTTTTGTAAATCTCTTTACCAGTGGAAACACCCCCAGGTCCTTAATCTAAGTGCATTCCTGCTCATCAAGACATATTTGGCATTTCTTCACCTTGTATATCACAAGATGTTCCATTTCACCTGAATAAGCTGATCTCAGTATCATTCTAAAATTATACCCAGTATTTTCCTGCAAACATTTTGTTCCACAACTTACTTTAATTTAACTTCTCAACACTATTCCTGAGTCTTAAGAGAAAAAAAAAATGTGGTGGGGGCAGGAGAGTAATCAGCACAGCACATCTTTCAGCCCTTTTAAATCAGCCTGTTTGACGCTATCACACACAGGCACTGCCCACAGGGCATAGTCTGAAAAGAGAAAACGCTGTCCTGGCTTGGTCACTAGCATCAAAACCTGCCCACGTGCTACACCTGGTGAGACAAGGAACACAAGAAAAACTTCAGCCTTGCTGAGGTCAGAGCCTTCCAAATAATCTCCATAAAGTTTTGGTCACAAAGGTCTATAACTCCATCTAAGCCTGTCCACATACAGCTTATCATTAGACACTCTTAAAAAAATGCAGATGTGATTTAGATTCATCCTGAAGATACAGGAAGGACATAGGTTCTCCACCCATAGCCAAATCCGTAAGTTAGGCACCAATACAAACTGATGGTTTCCCAAAACCATTTCCATTATGTTCTCAGAAACAAGTCAATTGTTTTTACATTTTATAGAATGGTTTATGGTTTTGACTTCAAAGAAACAACTATATATATACACACATAGAAACACATATGTACTTAATGCTTTGCCAGTTTTTCAACAGCAAGCTTTCTTTGTAAGTGACCACATGCTTGCCAGTGCTCCATATCTGGAGCAGCTCAGTTCAAGGTCATGTAGACCCACACCACTGTGAAAATACTGGTAAACAACTCTGTCTACTTACCAGTGACCCTGGCCTACTATCCAAAACCACAAGGTCTTTCCTATCAACTTCATAACTGGAAAAGTTTGTAATAACAAAGCACTCAGTAAACATATTTCTGATTTGCTTTGTGTCATGCACATGTATTCCCTACATAACCATGATTTCAAAGTAGAATTACCATAACAAATGTTTACATGTGTGGATATATTTGTAATTTAATAGCAATCAGTGTCTTTACTATGTTATTCTAAAAAAAAAAAAACATAATTAGAAAAAATCAGTTAGCACTGTGGTTCCATTCTAGCTGATCTTTCATATTTTTGAAATGTCTTTTCTGGGAACTTTGTAAGAATAATGTTTACTGCAATGCTGCTCCAACATTTGCAAAAAGACCTGAAGGGAACAAAAAGTGAAATGGGGTAATTACATGTAAGCAGAACTTTCCAAGGATCATGAACTAAGACCAAAACCAAAATTAGGAGTATTACATGAAAACAAAACTAACTCAGCTTCTTGAGCTCAGATTTCTTCAAAGAGCTGCAAACAGCTACTAGAAATTGAAAATATGTCTCTGTTGATTTACTAGGAGCCAGCATTTTAGTCAGATGCAGTGGAGCCTAAATTCATACTTGAAGCCAAAAAGTATCTCCAAGTGGCAGCTGAACTGAGCCTTTGGGTATTCACAGAAACCTCTTGAACTGAAAGATGGAGACAGCAGGGAAACCAGGACCTTGTGCCAAGCAACAAGAGAAAATATCACTCACATACACAGACTTCAGAGTTTTTCCAATACTTGCACAGTTTGAGGCAGCCCCACAGAAGGAAAATATTACAGGTAACACAAAAGACAAGTAGTTGGGAACTGATATTTTAAATTGTGAGAGGTCACCCATACTCAAAAAACGTATATCCACCTTCTTAATTTCAGCCTAGTCCTTCAAAAATGCAGCAGCACACAACTGCAAAATGCCATGTGACTTGGTCTCTTGCTAGTACAGTTCCATATACCTACGGTTCTAAAAGTCAGCTTTTCAAAAAATATTTTAAAAAAAGCCATGAATAAAAAGTGAGTTGTTCTGTACTCACAGCTTTTATTTCAATTTTGTAATTTGGATTCTTTTATCATTCATTCATTTTATACATCACAGTATAAAACTGGGACACACAAGACTGGCATCATAAACACTTACTTCTAAACATGCATAAATTTTAGTAAGAGCAAATTCAATTATTAGCTGCCTAAACAAACAATCAGTCAACACATAAAATAATTTCTTACTTAACATTCAATTAGTATCTCTCTAAGCAACACATCAGTAAAAGAAATCTATTCTTCCTTTCTTCATAAAAATATTTCGTGTTCTTTACTGTGTCCTTTCCAAATGTTTGTAGACCATCAGGACCACAAATACTGCTTTTGCTTTTTAAAGAAACAGTTATATTTCCAGCTGGATTGATTGCTTTCCCATATCCAGCTATTTTAGTGTGTTCCTCAGAGACATTGAGTGGCTTCACTGACAGTAAAATATGCTAAACAAATGACAAGTCACTGAGTAAATTAGCATCTACTCTCTGATCAGCTGGGTCATGTTTTCTTTTCAAAATCCATGGCCTCTTGATAGAAAATAATGAGTATTTGATGGGCCTTATTAGAAAAATCAATATATTGATGCCCATGTCTGAAACATCTGCATAATAATAGATTCTGTTAACCCATTAAGGAGAAAATGAAGATGTGTTTACACATTATTAATTTACCATGAGCAGAGACAATTTATTCACTACCTTTCTCAAGAGTTTAACAAAAAGAAAAGAAATTGCAATATCTGTATTTAAGGGCATGGTGACATAAACTGGACGATGATTCAAATTTTTGCCATCTGAATCCACCAACGCTTATGTGAAAAAATACAAACACACCAATGATACTGTTAAAAATGAGGCTATTAAAGCACTTGCTATAAATACTGTGTTACTTACCAAAAAACTTCCAAAAGCGGAATTAAATATTGCAGCTGCCTAGAGAGAAAAAAAAAAGGATAAATATCACCAATGGTGCAATAGCTACAGTGCAGGAACAAAATGTCCTTCCCCCACCCACCAAGCTATTAGAGTCTCCAAATACACACATACACAGAGACCATTAGGCAGTTAGCCACTGCTTAAAAAATTGCCAGTCGCCTGTAACTTATGAAGACTGATGGATTCTGGTTTATGCATTCATAAATAATGTGCTGAAAGGGACAAAAGCAGGAGGAGAAGAAAATCCTTGCCGATCGACTGAAAAGGAATATCCACAAGAATTAAGAATATTACACACAAGCTTGGTCTCACTGCCTTGCCAGGAACATTTTCATATATTGAACTATTAATTAAAATAAACATTACCCGATTTAACTAAAATACTGTATTTTTATACACTTAAAAATATTAATGAAATATTAATCTGGTAAATAAACTACTTTAATAGTTCATCATAAGATTGACAGAGAGAATTTCCTGTAGCTTGACAAACAAATATAAAATAGGAATAACAAAAAACCCAACAAAAAGAAATCCCACAATCTCCCATACTTCTGAGGCCAAAATGTCATTACTTTTCACTCCAAAGTCTTTTAAAATAAGAAAATAAACAATTTTGATAATGACTTAAAAAGTGTTTGTGCTTACCTAAATATCCAGGAAATATAAGATAGCAGTATTATGTCTTATTATGAACTCATTAAATTCCAGGAAGTTAAAACTTGAGTCTTGCATAGCTTTCCCCAATTACCAAGAAAGAACAGAAACTCTTGTATGGCAGCCAGTCTGATGATGAAAAGCCACACAGCAAAGGTAAGAGGAAAGGGAGGAGGGAAATCTACATTTACGTGCTGGTTTATAGTCAAATTAATCGCCCTGGACACTTCCAGCCACAGATTAATAACAAGAGGCTGTTAGTGAGTTGAGCAAGTTTGAATAAAGTCCAAAATCAGGGTAGGAGCAGTAGCTGAACCTGCCTTCTGCTCCATAAGAGGATGCAATGAAAATGAATGGGTAATGAGATCTTTGGCTCTAGAGAGCTTAGCTTTCTTATTCAAGTTCATAATTAATTCAAAGCTTTGATAATTTCATTAGATTCCTCCTCTGCTGGCCCTATCAATAAAAGATGGCACTGGACCACAGCTCCTCAGTGGCCCAAATGCAAAAACAAATGCAGACTGGGAAACCCTTGCTGACTTGCTCACTAACAGGGACAATGGCATATGGCACTCCATGTTGTGGAGGGAGCATCTGAATAGATACAGCTAAATAAAACATTATAGTTGACAGTTGTAAACTACAGTAACATATTTTAACACCTCTCTCTCATCAGCATTTCTTTTTTGAACACAAAAAAAAAAAGGAGGCACAAGTCCAAACAGCTTCTCTTGCCAGAGATCATAGCTGAAAGGAAGCGTGAGTAGTATAAACAATTCTTCAACAAGTGTGAATTAAATCAGGATTTTCTACTTGTATTTGAAGCTGTGCAACTGACACTTTCATGTAGCAAGCCAAAGACACTATACTCATCCAAACAAACCTAGAACATGGCTACCAATCCTGATTTGGGGGTCATCTAGAGATATCACATTATTTTACTTAAAACAGGCTGCAATTCCTCTTCCAGGAGAAATTCTGTGTCTGGAAAGGTGTAAAGGAGAGATACTAGATGGTGGTATTTTGCCCATTATCAAACTTCTTTTATTCCTTCCTGATCCATCTGGTAGATATCTGGATTTTTAAAATAATCTCAAGCATGTAACAGAGACTAAGACAACAATCTTGGGCAAATTTTATACTTCAGTCATTTAGCCAGTCATGTGCAAAAGTCATAATCCACAACCAGTTCTGGAGTACACTAGTTTACAATTTTTAACTCCCTTTTTCTTAAGTGTCAGAAATTATCCAGAGCAGATGATTAAACACTCATTACAGACAAAAGAGGAGGGGGGAAAAAAAAAAGCCACAGGAAGATTGCATATTAAGATACAATCATCCAGAATGTTTGCCTCAGCAGGGAGGATTTACATATGTCAATTACTCTATCTGCAGTATTCTTTGTAAACATTTTCCCTGCAAAACAAACTTAAAAGTAATTTCTTCTCATAGTCACAAACCTGGGGCTTATATATATGATTCTGGTTCAGTTTAAACAAACTGGTTGTAAACTGAATCAAGTGCTCCAATTTGTAATTAAACATACCTAGTAGCATAACCCTGTAGAATTTAAACACTTTTGTGCTTCCAACTCCCTTCTATCAAAGGGATACATACCTCACAGGGCATTGTCAAAATTAATTCATTCCTTAAAAAGCACTCTGAAATCCTTAGAGGGATAATACAAATAAACATTAGTGCTGACACATGATACAGCCAGGCTCTTCATTTTCTATTTGAAACATTTATTAGTCACTATTATTGCACCACTTTTTTTAGTGTTTGCTCTTTTTGTGCTTCGACAGATTGTCTGCAGCCAGCTTAAATGAAACAATAAAACATGAAAACATTTGGATGTCTTTATAATGCTCCAAGTTCAGATTTGCATGTGTTTGCAAACCATTCATTGCATTTACCATTAGTGTGAGGGGAGAGCTCCCTATAAAATCCACAGTGAAGTCCTTTCAAAAGGTAAGTGCACAGCCATGTATTGAAATGTAAGGTCAGATCGTGTTCCAAAGCAGCAGAATCAACAACAAGACAAATTTTCCAGGTTTGCACCAACTCAAGAGACATGACTGAAAGTCACTGTCAGGACTCTCAACAGGCAAGTACAAGAGCATGGGCAGCATCACTTGAGTTAACAATTGTACATTTTAGCTCCATTAAACAACAAATTCACTTATTGTTGGGCAGGTACAATTTCAGACAGCTCTGCATGGCATTGGGGTTGAGGGAATGCTGAGGAGAATTTCAAATGAGAAATGACCAGGGCATCTGGGAAGGACACCTATCTGGCAGCACTTGGCAGAAACCTTTCTCATACCAGAGTCTAGCACAAAGCTTCAGCCTTCATCTCTCCCCTTTTCCTGGAACATGTGTATGGAAAACACTGCTTAGATTTCTACAGTGGTAGCAACAAGATCTAAGACAGTCCTCCTGGTAACAAAGGCTGGTAAAAGATGGAAGAAAAGGGCAAAGCCACTACCAAGGGGCTGAGCTGTCCCTCCAGGTGTGTATTCAGATGCAGCATCAAGTACATGCAGCAGTCAAGTACATGTGACTGGGCAGCAAATCAAACAAGTGCGCTTAGAATTCAAGAATTAAATACAGAACACATTCTGAATTTTGTTCCATTGTCTTGGTTTTGGTACCCAACTAAACTGTCTTGGAATTTATTAGGCTAGATATTGTTTTGATGATAACATAGCCAGACTACATTAAACAACAGGAAAACACAGCCTGGCCACATTTGGAACACCTGGGTCAAACAGCAACATTTTATCATGATCAGCAGGATTCCAAAGAAATTGTTATGGACTGGAACTTCACTGCAGAGCACAGGGAAAGAGCAGTGCCTCACAGCTTTATATGTGGACTTCAGAGAAAAAAGAGATTTTCTCACCAATAAGTGTATAGTGCTTCAATACCAAAACATTTGATTCTCCAGTGTCATTTGGCAGCCCTCAGGGAGACAACCTTCCTAGATGTATTTAAACCTGTGCTTACCCCCAGGCACCCCACAGCTGGGACAGCACACCCCACGGACACCAGGGCCTGGCTGGCCCCAAGCCATCCCTGCTCTGAGGAAAGGACACTCCAGGGTCAAGGCCACAGATGCAGAGTAATGAAAGCAAAGAGCCCCAGAACATCCTGGAAGGAGGCAGCCTGGGCATCATCCAGAGCTGTTGTGTGTCTGTCTGCCATTCTCTGCAGTTAAAACCTGAGCACTAGGGGGATGTACTGCACACTAGTGGGATATGCAGCTCAAGCAGCAGCAATAAGACTAATTATCCTATTTAACACACAAGGTACAGGGAAGGAGAAAGAAAAACAGAAGAGCAGAAAAGAATTGGGAAGAGACAAGGACACTCACAGTTCTAGTGCAGGATTATGCAGTAGAGGACAGAGAACACAATGTGGTAGTGTAAGATTTTACAGCATCCATACTATTACTGCAAAATTTAATACAATCATTTGACAAAAGAAGAAAGGGGAAAAAATAAAAGGAGAAAGACTAAATAAAGTGATGGAAATGATTCGACCAAACAGGACAGAAAATTTTATCTACCCAAAAAGATCAGTGTAGTTTGAAAAGGTGGAAGAAGGCAGGACATTAGAAGTAACTTGAATGAGTTGACAGAGTCCCTTCAAACAACTCCTTCAATCTCCTATTTAAAAATAAAATCTCCTGTGCCACCACAGCTCATGTCTTAACTGCTGTTTCCAATAACAAGATGTTACATCTCTGTAGAAAGCTATTTGCCACAGCACTGTTACTGCAAACAGAATATAAATATACCTAATAAGGTTTAATCTGTGTTGCTGTTCATAACTATTCATCTGAGTTCAGACAGGAAAAAAAAAATATATTCAAGTTCCTGGTTTTGAGCACTAAATTGAATCAGGTGTCCTCTTCTCTTAAGAAAATTAAGTTGCTTTTGTGCAAGAGTGTTTTAATGAGAACAGAGCCTGCCGACATTGATAAATGGCAATGACACCAGAGAGAGCATGTAAGCAGGACAATATGTGCATGTTACAGTCTTACAGGCTATTTTTCACTGACTATCCTGAATGACTTCTCTGTTTCTTAAGGGGCCTATTAATCTCAAATTTAGTTATTACACAACGTTTATTTGAACATATATTCTGTGGATGATGACAGTTAATAAAGGAAATCTTTTACAAGCTGTATTTTTACATATTGTTCCAACTGCAGCTCCCAGTCGTTCTACTGTATTGATGGAATAACCTAGTTATGATGCAGCTTTAAAAAAGGCACATATATTCAGATTCCTTTCTAAGCATATGGGGACTCTTAAATAACTGTTAAAATGCAT